CGGAGTAGGAAAGGGGGAAGGGAGAAGGAGAAGGAAAGGGGGGGGGGGGGGGTTGGCCCCCTTCTCCTAGTCCTAATCGGCCTCCTACCCAAGTGGGGGTGCACCAGCCCCTTATGGGCTGGTGTGCTTCCCTCTTATGGCCCATAAGGCCCATAACTTCTCCCGGGGGGTTTCGGTAACTTCCCGGTACTCCGGAAAATGCCCGAACCACTCGGAACCATTCCGATATTTAAATGCAACCTTTCAATATATGAATCTTTACCTCTCGGCCATTTCGAGACTCCTCGTCATGTCTGTGATCTCATCTGGGACTCCGAACAAACTTCGGTCATCAAATCACATAACTCATAATACAAATAGTCATCGAACATTAAGCGTGCGGACCCTACGGGTTCGAGAACTATGTGTACATGACCGAGACACATCTTCGGTCAATAACCAATAGCGGAACCTGGATGCTCATATTGGCTCCTACATATTCTACAAAGATCTTTATCGGTCAAACCGCATAACAACATACGTTGTTCCCTTTGTCATCGGCATGTTACTTGACCGAGATTCGATCGTTGGTATCACCATACCTAGTTCAATCTCGTTACCGGCAAGTCTCTTTACTCGTTCCGTAATGCATCATCCCATAACTAACTCATTAGTCACATTGCTTGCAAGGCTTATAGTGATGTGCATTACCGAGAGGGCCCAGAGATACCTCTCCGATACACGAAGTGTCAAATCCTAATCTCGATCTACGTCAACTCAACAAACACCATCGGAGACACCTGTAGAGCATCTTTATAATCACCCAATTACGTTGTGATGTTTGATAGCACACAAGGTGTTCCTCCGGTATTCGGGAGTTGCATAATGTCATAGTCAGAGGAACATGTATAAGCCATGAAGAAAGCAATAGCAATAAAACTAAATGATCATTACGCTAAGCTAACGGATGGGTCTTGTCCATCACATCATTCTCCTAATGATGTGATCCCGTTTATCAAATGACAACACATGTCTATGGTCAGGAAACTTAATCATCTTTGATTAACGAGCTAGTCAAGTAGAGGCATACTAGGGACACTCTGTGTTGTCTATGTATTCACACATGTACTAAGTTTCCGGTTAATACAATTCTAGCATGAATAATAAACATTTATCATGATATAAGGAAATATAAATAACAACTTTATTATTGCCTCTAGGGCATATTTCTTTCAGGACCCCCCGCGCTCGCATCGCGGTGACGGGCAGGCAAAGCAGCTCGCCGAGGACAGACGACGCCAGCCCCGGGTGTGGGAAGAGCGGCTCGTCGGAGATGGGCGGCAGAGCAACTCTTCATCCCAATGCATTGCATTCTCCTCGTCGCTTCCTCCCGTGCTCCCCGTCGAGAACTTCCTGGGCAGCAGTATCCACCGCAACTACGACCTGCTCCTCCGGCACCGTCTCCCCGTCCAGCACTGCATGCTCGCCCTTCCGGGGGTCCGCCGGGAGCTGCTGGCCCGGGTCATCTTGCACCCGCAGGCGCTGACGCAGTGTGAGCACACACTGACAAGCATGGGCCTCAACGTCACGCACCAGGCCTTCGAAGACACGGCCAACGCCGCGGAGCACATTGCCGCGCACAGCCTCCACGACACGGCCGCCATCGCATCTGTGCGCACCGGGGAGCTCTACATGTCCATGGTCGACGTGCGCGCCCAGATCCTCACCGACGCCATGCAAGAAGATACCGGGAAGCACTTCGAGTACATGTCCAGGGCCAACGTGGCTAGTGGTCCCGTCCTTGACACCTGCACAGCCTTGGGCAGCGGTGCGGCGAGGTCCTTGACGCTGCTGGCGCCCTCTCGTCGAACACCCCGACCCATAGGACGGCGGCGAGCACAATGATCGGCAACGTCCGGCATGCTCACTAGCCATGTCGGCTTGGTCACCATCGTCGTGGGGGCGCATAGCAGGTGTTCGACGAAATGTATGAGCCAAAAGTAAGTTTTACTCCGTTATATACAGAGGATGGGCTAGGTCCGGTGAAATCTTAGTGGAGTAAAAATACAGTTTACTCCGTCGGATACTCCATGTGTGTTTGTTTTCTAATCCCCACCGCATCCATCGAGCTCGCCCGCCGCCCCCATCCCGCTGTCGTGTGCCGTCCCCGTCACCGGCCCTTGTTTTCTAATCCCCGCCGGATCCGTTAAGCAAGGAGAAATCTGCTCGTCGTGGTCTCTCTTGTGGAGTGCGGTTTCTAAATTCGAGAGAGAAGAGAGTCCTACCCGCTCCTATCTCCTCTTGCGAGTCCAATCGCGAGGATAGGGATGGAGAGCTCCAACGGCAAGCCGCCGCGGGGAGAGGAAGAGGGGAAGGCGGCGGGGTCGATCGGAGGCCACGAGTCGCTGCACAGGCTCCTCGAGTCCAATCTCCCTCCCGAGCTCTTCAAGGTTCGTATCCTCGGCCCTCGCTCGCTAGCTCCTCAGAGTCAGTCGCTCGCTCCGCCTGGTTGGTTGGGTGAAATATTTGTACAAATGAAGAAGATCTCGAGGTAATCGCACTGCATGCGTGGTTCAGTCGATATGTATCGAGGAACCTGATGAACTATGTGAGCAGATTCAGTTGGTTGTTTCCCAACACAAACAGACAGCTACAATCTTCTTCTAGCAGCGAAATAATTGATTCAGTGCGAGAATTTGCATGTCTGTCTATCCGACCTGTGTTCGGGATCTGTTTTCTGTAAAATCATTCAACGAATTTGTATCCAAATTATCGTGCAATGATGTTAGTAGTCTGTGTTTGTGATCTGTTGTTCAGGTACCTGTATTTCTTCACCTGTACTTTATTTCCGATATATTGATGGTATCTAGATTCATATTTGTTTTAGGAATCTATTTAGGCTCAATTTGCTTATACCGAGTTTACTTTAACTTATGTTCTCCATTTGGTGACAGGAGGCAAGCCGGTTGCTTTTGGGGTTGAATTGTGCACACCCTCTTGAGGCTATTTCCCTGCCTGGGGCCACCACTGATCTTGCTGGAGCGCATAATTTCGATGTGCAGGTTATCTACGAATAAATTGCCTTGATTTTAAATAGCTATGGTAGATTATGAACTGATCTTGTAATTTCTAGACATCATAGTTTGAAAACAAGGCAGCACCTAACAACTGAAACCATTTGTTTGCTCTCTCTTTTTTGAAAATTTTAAACTGTTAGCTACTTGTATTACAGGCATTCCGTTTTAACGCTGACAAAGAGCATATGAGACAGCCGCGGATTGTTCGAGTTGGCTTAATTCAGAACTCAATTGCTGTTCCAACGACTTGTCATTTTGCTGATCAAAAGAAGTCTATCATGGAGAAAGTAAAACCCATCATAGACGCAGCTGGTGCTTCTGGTGTCAATATTTTGTGCTTACAGGTACTTCTAACATTGGTGATTTAGTTCTGGTGTTCTCTTGCGACTCTTATCTGCATCTTTGTTTTCAAACCTGGTGTCCTATTAGTCTAAGTATATGAGACTCTGCTTGGCATATCCTGTGCTTCAACTTCTGCCAGCTAAGAAAAGTTCGAGCCTTAAATAAACAGTCGCTTTCTCTGCCCATCATCTTGAGAAACTGAAAACCACCTGTTTAAATAAGCCAGAAGCTGTTGAGTAGCCGCTTCTGTGGCTTCAGAATCTCTCTGGTCTCCTGTTCCAAGCATCACTGAAGGAAAAAAAGTCCTTCCATTTGCGATTACTCAAAAAAAAAAACCTTTTATCCAAACGAGCCTTATAGGCCGATACTTCTTACCAAACAGGTTTGCCACCTTCTATGAGATGCTACCTTTTTGGGCTTATAAGCACCGAAAACTAGCTTCTTTTTTGAATGTTGAAAACTAGCTTCTTAGAAAAGCTTAAGCCAGTCCAAACTAGCTATAATATTGAGACATGTTTGCTTATATTTCCACAGAAGCAGATCATTTGTTGTGATTCATACCCTCAAATTTCAGGAAGCCTGGACAATGCCATTTGCCTTCTGCACGCGTGAAAAACGATGGTGTGAGTTTGCTGAGCCTGTTGATGGAGAATCTACTCAGTTTCTTCAAGAGCTTGCACAGAAATATAACATGGTAATTGTTAGCCCTATCCTTGAAAGGGATATAAACCATGGAGAGACTATATGGAATACTGTTGTTGTAATTGGAAATAATGGCAACATAATTGGCATTCATCGAAAGGTATGCATACCAGTACATTTTTCTTTCCTTTGGTTGCATTTCCCTTTTTCTTCCTTCTACCTGAAAGTATTTTTTGTCTCTAACTGAACACTACTGCAGAATCACATCCCAAGAGTTGGCGACTTCAATGAGAGCACGTACTATATGGAAGGTAACACTGGGCATCCGGTGTTTGAAACAGCTTATGGCAAAATTGCTGTAAACATCTGCTACGGCAGGCATCATCCTCTGAATTGGCTTGCATTTGGCCTCAATGGAGCTGAAATAGTTTTCAACCCATCTGCAACTGTCGGTGAACTTAGTGAACCAATGTGGCCTATTGAGGTCAGATAAAACTATTCACATGACATTTGTTATTATTTTTGCTGTTATTCATGCTGGAGCAACCCTGATGCTAAGCTGGTCCATTTCAGGCAAGGAATGCTGCAATTGCAAATAGCTACTTTGTCGGATCAATTAACCGGGTAGGCACAGAGGTATTCCCGAACCCATTCACTTCTGGTGATGGGAAACCTCAGCATGCCGACTTTGGTCATTTCTATGGATCCAGCCATTTCTCAGCGCCTGATGCTTCCTGCACCCCATCGCTATCGCGCTACCGAGATGGCTTGATGATATCTGACATGGACCTGAACTTATGCCGCCAGATCAAAGACAAGTGGGCCTTCCGCATGACTGCTCGGTATGACATGTATGCTGACTTGCTTTCAGAGTACTTGAAGCCAGATTTTAAGCCTCAGATCATCGCGGATCCCTTGATAAATAAGAGGGCTTAATTTTGAATCAATTGGGTCTAAGCAGACGAAGTCGATGCCCTTTCCCTTCTTTTCTGTATATGTTGTATAAATATAAAAATAAATCAGTAAACACCTTTTGATCAAGTTTCCATGGTCTGACTTTACCCAATGTTGAAATCTACATATTCACTCTTTTATGTTGTGAATTTCCAAGTAAATGTTCTTTGAATAAAATACACCACACAATGGCCTATAGATAAAAAGAATCGTGGTTGGCTTTACATTATGGATGTCGCACAACTAAGGGCGCAGATTCTTTGAGGTAAGTTACCTGCCTTTGGCTTGCTGACATGTGGCCCATTTTGTTCCTGGGCGCACATGTCAGCCACTGTAAAGGCAGGTGATGTAAGTCAGAGAATCCACAGCCCGACTAAGCATCATCGTCCAAAGAGGTAAACAGCTGCCATATGATGCAGTGCATTCTTTCTAGACTAAGGCAATTAGCCCAGCCTAAGAGCATCTCCAGCCGTTGGCCCCCCAGGTGGCGATTTTACGCGCCCCCGGGGCAAGTCGGCGCTAAAATCGGCGCGGGGGCGAGCGGGTTCCCAGCCGCTCGCCCCGGACGCGTTTTTTTATTTTAAAAAAACTGAATTCGGCAAAGTTTGGCTAAAATTTGGCAAACTTGATATTCATATTCAACATGTTCGGCGTTTTACATAAATTATTTTAAAAAAAGTAATCTACGGGGCGAAGAACTCGATCAGCACGGCGAAGTCACCACCGTCCTCGTCATCGTCGTCGACCTCCTCATTCTTGATGGTGTGGCTGCCCCTGCTGGACCGCTGCCCGGCGTCTCCATGGCGGACAGGCGGTGGCGGCGCGTCGTCGTCGTCGTTGCTGTCGTCGAGGACGACGATGCCTCCCTCGTCCCGGCCACGGCGACGAGCTTCGAACCACGCGAAGGCGGCGCACTGGCGCTCCCTCTCCATCTACACCTAGTCGTCGCGCGCCCATTTGAGGACGGCTTCGTCATCGAGCGCCTCCTCCTTGACGGGCTCCGTCTTCATGACGGGGAGCCCCGGCTCCGTCTTTGGCTTGACGAAACGCGGAGGAGCCGAGGAGGTGGCACGTCGGCCGCCCTCGTTGATGATGATGCCGGCGCTGTGGTTGCGCGGTCGAGCGGCGTCTCCGCGACGGGCTCTGCCTTGACGCCGAAGAGTGCCGGCGAGCCGGAAGAGTGGGAGGAGGAGCGGGAGGAGGAGGAAGAGTGGGAGGAGTAGGAGGCGGCAAACCTCCTGGGCACCCACGGCCCAGCGCTCCGGCGAGGGGCCGACACGGACACCGTGGCGGGGTACGCCAGCGGCGGGTTGTTTCTGCCCTCGAGGTGTGCGATCACCTCGTGTAGGGTGCGGCCGGGGACCCCCCACCAGATGTGGTGTGACGCCCCCGATTCAATCGTACACTAACCATGCACGCAAATGTGTACGATCAAGATCAGGGACTCACAGGAAGATATCACAACACAACTCTAAAACATAAATAAGTCATACAAGCATCATAATACAAGCCAGGGGCCTCGAGGGCTCGAATACAAGTGCTCGATCATAGACAAGTCAGCGGAAGCAACAATATCTGAGTACAGACGTAAGTTAAACAAGTTGCCATAAGATGGCTAGCACAAACTGGGATACAGATCGAAAGAGGCGCAGGCCTCCTGCCTGGGATCCTCCTAACTACTCCTGGACGTCGTCAGCGGGCTGCACGTAGTAGTAGGCACCTCCGGTGTAGTAGGGGTCGTCGTCGACGGTGGCGTCTGGCTCCAGGGCTCCAGCATCTGGTTGCGACAACCAGGTAGAAGGGAAAGGGGAAAAGAGGGAGAAAAGCAACTGTGAGTACTCATCCAAAGTACTCGCAAGCAAGGAGCTACACTACATATGCATGGGGATATGTGTAAAGGGCCATATCGGTGGACTGAACTGCAGAATGCCAGAATAAGAGGGGGATAGCTAATTCTGTCGAAGACTACGCTTCTAGCAGCCTCCGTCTTGCAGCATGTAGAAGAGAGTAGATTGAAGTCCTCCAAGTAGTATCTCCAAGTAGCATCTCCAAGTAGCATCCCCAAGTAGCATCTCCAGTAGCAACGCAGTAGCATAATCCTACCCGGCGATCCTCCCCTCGTCGCCCTGTGGAAAAGCGATCACCGGGTTGTCTGTGGAACTTGGAAGGGTGTGTTTTATTAAGTATCCGGTTCTAGTTGTCATAAGGTCAAGGTACAACTCCAAGTCGTCCTGTTACCGAAGATCACGACTATTCGAATAGATTAACTTCCCTGCAGGGGTGCACCAACTTACCCAGCATGCTCGATCCCATTTGGCCGGACACACTTTCCTGGGTCATGCCCGGCCGCGGAAGATCAACACGTCACAGCCCCACCTAGGCACAACAGAGAGGCCAGCACGCCGGTCTAAACCTAAGCGCGCAGGGGTCTGGGCCCATCGCCCTGAGCACACCTGCACGTTGTGTGGGCGGCCGAAAGCAGACCTAGCCTAGTGGCGTTCCAGTCCAATTCGGCGCGCGCCGCTCCGTCGCTGATGTCTGAAGTGCTTCGGCTGATACCACGACGTCGGGATACCCATAACTACTCCCGCGTAGATGGTTAGTGCGTATAGGCTCGTAGCCAACTTAGATCAAATACCAAGATCTCGTTAAGCGTGTTAAGTATCCGCGAACGCCGAACAGGGCCAGGCCCACCTCTCTCCTAGGCGGTCTCAACCTGCCCTGTCGCTTCGCCACAAAGATCCACACAGAGGGCCGTCGGGACAAAGGTCCTTTCAGCCCCCAATCCGTGAATCACTCGCGGGTACTCTTCGAGCTGACCCGACTTTAGTCACCATCTGTATAGTATGTAAGTATGTATCATATATACCCATGATCACCTCCCGAAGTGATCACAGCCCAGTAGTATAGCATGGCAGACGAACAAGAGTGTAGGGCCACTGATGGAACGCTAGCATCCTATACTAAGCAGTAGGATAGCAGGTAAAGGTAACAACAGTAGTAGCAAGGACAGGCTATGCAGCAGTATAGGATTAACTGAAAGCAGTAACATGCTACACTACTCTAATGCAAGCAGTATAGAGAAGAGTAGGCGATATCTGGTGATCAAAGGGGGGGCTTGCCTGGTTGCTCTGGCAAGAGAGAGGGGTCGTCAACTCCGTAGTCGAACTGGGCAGCAGCAGTGTCGGTCTCGTAGTCTACCGGAGAGAAGAGGGGGGAAGAAATAATGAATACAGAGCAAACAAAGCATCACAAAATATAACAAGGCAATACGCGGTGTTCGGTGTGCCCTAACGCGGTAGTAGGTGATATCGACGAAGGGGGAAGACATCCGGGAAAGTATTCCCGGTGTTCCGTGTTTTCGGGCAGAGGAGCCGGAGGGGGAAAGTTGCGGGTTCGATAGGTTAGGGGTGTGCGGCGAATGAACGGACTGCGTATCCGGATTCGTCACGTCGTTCTGAGCAACTTTCATGTAGAAAGTATTTTCATCCGAGTTACGGATTAAAAGATATGATTTTCTAAAGATTTTATTAATTTCTGGAATTTAATTAATTAATTATTTAATTCGAAAAATGAATTTATGACGTCAGCATGATGTCATGCTGACGTCAGCAGTCAACAGGGTTGACTTGGTCAACCTGACAGGTGGGTCCCGTTCGTCATACTCTGTTAGTTAATTAACAATAGTTAATTAGGTTAATTAGCCATTAGGTTAATTAATTAGGATTAATTAAATTAAGTATTTAATTAATTAATTAATTAATATTTTAATTATCATTTATTTTTATTTTTAACATTCTGGGGGGGGGGCCTGCGGTCAGTGGCATGGCCGGTCCAGTCAGCGAGGCTGACCCGGTCAACAGGCCGGCCGGGCCCCTAGGGCCCACGGGTCAGTGACCCGGGGGTGGCCCCAGGTCGGCCACGTCGGCGGCCGGTGTTGGGGAGCTCCGGGGAGCGTTCCCGCGGCGGAGGGGCGCCGGACCTCGCCGGGATTCGCCGTCCGGCGGCCAAAATGGCCGCGGGCGGGTGCGTTCGAACGTGGAGAGGATGCCGCGTCCAACGGTGGCAGAGGCACGGCCGGACTTGGCCGGAAACGACGCCGGCGAGCGGCGGAGGCGGCGGTGGGATTCGGGACCGCGTCGGGATCGCGCTACGGGGCTAACGGGAAGGCCAGGG